GCTTTCTCAAAAGCTGGGCTGCTCAGAGACCACGAGGGTCGATCTCAGAAATCGAAGAGGCGTTTGCTTTCTCAAAAGCTGGGCTGCTCAAAGACCACGAAGGCCGATCTCAGAAATCGAAGAGGTTTGCTTTCTCAAAAGCTGGGCTGCTCAGAGACCACGAGGGCCGATCTCAGAAATCGAAGAGGGTTTGCTTTCTCAAAAGCTGGGCTGCTCAGAGACCACGAGGGCCGATCTCAGAAATCGAAGAGGTTTGCTTTCTCAAAAGCTGGGCTGCTCAGAAACCACGAGGGTCGATCTTAGAAATCGAAAAGGCACCTACTTTTCCAGCCTTGTCAGCACCTGTCACACGCACACTCAGCTTTGCGGAAATTATGGGCATTCTGTCGAAGATTTCTGGCGAAGTAGAAAGCACATGAATCGTACTGTTCAATCACCCACTTCCCACACGCAACAGTAGCTCATGGGTACCACATATAACTTTGCCAAAGTTCTCTGACAAAGTTGAGACTACTTTTCCAGCCTTGTCAGCACCTGTCACACGCACACTCAGCTTTGCGGAAATTATGGGCATTCTGTCGAAGATTTCTGGCGAAGTAGAAAGCACATGAATCGTACTGTTCAATCACCCACTTCCCACACGCAACAGTAGCTCATGGGTACCACATATAACTTTGCCAAAGTTCTCTGACAAAGTCGAGACACGTGAAGCTTGCAACTCTCACTACATCGCTCTGACCAAGAAGGGTAAAAGAATAGCAAAGAAACAACACTAACAAAGTTTAGACACATAAATTTTGACGGCCTAGCTACCATATTATTACCCACAATGGTAAAGGAACAGTACCACTGCTGGATAATTGGAAAGTCCCGGTGTGTCAACCTCTGTGCTTCATGGCAAGGTAGACTAGCAAACATGCCCAACCTATACTCACATTCGAGAAAACACTCCCAACAAGATTGCTTGCCCCAAAATCGAAGAGGCATCGCCCTCCGAATCTCGAGAGCCAGACTCCCAACATGATTACTTTCTCAAAAATCGAATAGAGGGTAAAGGAACAGTACCACTGCTGGATAATTTGAAAGTCCCTGTGTGTCATCCTCTGTGCTTCGTGGCAAGGTAGACTAGCAAACATGCCCAACCTTTACTCACATTCGAGAAAACACCCCCAACAAGATTGCTTGCTCCAAAATCGAAGAGGCACCGCCCTCCGAATCTCGAGAGCCAGACTCCTAACATGATTACTTTCTCAAAAATCGAAGAGAGGGTAAAGGAACAGTACCACTGCTGGATAATTGGAAAGTCCCTGTGTGTCAACCTCTGTGCTTCGTGGCAAGGTAGACTAGCAAACATGCCCAACCTTTACTCATATTCGAGAAAACACTCCCAACTCCCAACATGATTACTTTCTCAAAAATCGAAGACACCGCTCTCCGAATCTCGAGAGCCAGACCCCCAGCATGATTGCTTTCTCAAAAATCGAAGACACCGCTCTCCGAATCTCGAGAGCCAGACCCCCAGCATGATTGCTTTCTCAAAAATCGAAGAGGCATCGTTTTCCGAATCTCGAGAGCCAGATCCCCGACAGGATTGCTTGTTCGAAAACCGAAGAGGCACCACTTTCCCAACTTCAAGAGCCGGATCTCCTTGGATAAAGCTTGTCTGTAATCTTCACACGCAACATCAGCTTTCCAGATACCACAGACCATTTTTTTCAAAGTGCTCTGACAGAGTTAAAACTTGTGAAGCTGGCAGCTCCCACTACCGTGCTATGACCAAGCAGGGTAAAGGAATAGCATTATTACTTGATGTTAGGGAGACTCCTATATATGTCGACCTCCATCCCCAACGGACAGGCAGACCTGCAAAAATGCTCAACCCTTCCTCTTATCTGAGAGGGCACTCCCAACGAAGCCTTTCGAAATATTCAGCTTTCTTTCCCCCCGATAATACCTCTGTAAACAAGCTATACTAGAGCAAGAATATCTCATATCATCAGGGTTAAAAGCAAAGAGTATCCCATATCATGCTTTTTCCCTGTCTTTTCCTTTGGCCTTGTTCTTACCTGCAAGACAAGGAGAAAGAGAGCAATCAGTCAGCACTTGGAATCAAGCTTCCAGCCAGGAACTGACTGCCTGGAACCCCTTACCCTGGCATTGCTCTCGAGTACTCATCTTCAACATCTTATGCTTCCAAGGAAGATACCGCATCTGCCTGAGGATAGGGCAAGTGAGAAGGATACAAGGAAGCATGTGGAGACAAGCGTAACAGCACACGTGCCGATACATCCACTACTCTGTCAAAAGAAAAAGTATCCCATATCAGCAGGGTCGAACGTACTCTAGATTTGATGGACTTGTTTTGACCCTCAAATTCTTCAGTCGGCCTTATACTTTGGAGGAAACCAGAAAACCCTCCAGCCCAGTTCAAGAATAAGCCTGTGGAAAGTTACTTCTTCAAAAGCAAAAGTATCCCATATCATCTCTTCTCATTTTTCTTCTCTTTATCCTTCATGCTGCCTGCAAGATAGGGAGAATGTAAACAATCAGCCGGAGCTCTGATTGCTTACCTTGTCTGTTACCTCTTTCAGCAGATCCTCTAGCTCGGCGACTTGGGGGACTCCTACTACATGGTTTGTATCGCGCTTGACCAAGCCTGAAACTACAAGTAAGCTTCAAGTGACATTGATACATTACCTTGTGCATCTCCACCAGTTACAGATACCACCCCTGGATGGAGGAAGAGTACTTCCAGAGAAGATTCCATATCTACCTATGAGACAGATAAGGAAAGTCAAGCCGATACCACACTCCGGGACTTAGAAGTTTCGTGGTTACGAGATCATTCTCCCACAATATTTCCTAATGTCATTTGTACTAAATCATTCACTTGTACTCCCTAAAGGAGAGCTTGAACCTATGTACTTGTGTAAACCCTTCACAATTAATGAGAACTCCTCTATTCCGTGGACGTAGCCAATCTGGGTGAATCACGTACATCTTGTGTTTGCTTTCCTATCTCTATCCATTTATATACTTATCCACACTAATGACCGGAGCAATCTAGCGAAGATCACAAAAAAGTGACCGTTTTCGCTACCTAGGATCTATCTTGCAAGAGAACGGAGAATTAGATGGAGATCTCAACCATAGAATACAAGCTGGATGGATGAAGTGTAAGAGTGTATCCGGCGTGTTGTGTGATCGTCGTAGGCCACTGAAGCTCAAGGGAAAATTTTATAGGACGGCAATAAGGCCAACGATGTTGTATGGCACAGAATGTTGGGCGGTGAAGCATCAACATGTACACAAAATGGGTGTAGCGGAGATGAGGATGCTTCGTGGGATGTATGGGCACACGAGAAAGGATAAGATTGGGAATGAGGATATCCAAGGTAAAGTAGGAATAGCCAAAATTGAAGGAAATATGAGAGAAAATCGGTTCCGGTGGTTTGGACATGTGCAAAGAAGGCCTACTGACGCTCCGGTTCGAAAATGTGACTACGGGACAGAAGTTCAGGGCCGAAGGGGTAGAGGAAGACCTAGGAAAACTTTGGAAGAGACCCTAAGAAAAGACTTGATTACTTGGATCTAACGGAGGACATGACACAAAACCGAGCGCAATGGCGTTCTAGGATTCATATAGCCGACCCCACTTAGTGGGAAAAGGCTTTGTTGTTGTTGTTGTTGTTGACATAATGAGGTCACTCTGGCCAAAGACTTCGGAATCATTCACTTGAACATTTGCCTCCCAGTTCGGAGGTTGGTGATCTCTTGTTGAGTATTCGTTTCTCTCCATAAATATCTCAATCAATTGCAACGATGTCTTGGTTATACCTTGATTAGAGCACAAAATTTAACAAATGCAAAGATGAATCTATTCACAAGACAACTACAAAATCTCAGGTCAAAGGATTAATGCTACACTATGCTTTAAAAGATTTTACTAACATGAATATATGTGTAACAAACATATATATAAGATCTTCTTTTGTCGATCGCATTCAGTAAACTCAATCTCTATTGAGCACTACATATCTACATTAGTGTCACTACACAATGATAATGAAACACACCATCATATGTCAGATAAATACTAGTCTTTAGCCGGTGGTTAATGCTCAATTGAAAACCAATGACTATGAACATTTTAGAGTATCATTATTAGGTTGTTGGTTCATCAATCCGTCCCATAGATTGCATTCCGATTATTGCTTATTCTTTTGGACTAATTGTTATATTAATATGCCCGATAATTATATTAGAGCTGAATACTATGAGATAAAATACATAAACTAATTACAACTTAATTGGCTTCATCGGCTATGTATAACACAATTCAATACTACGAGAGAGTCTAATAGAATAATCTTTCAGTATGATTCCCACTTTAACAATAGTCATCACAAGAGATCTTATTTCATTTAACCTAACTTTTGACTCCATGATTTTAATCCATTGTAGCAAATAAATAAACTTCCTAAAAGTCAAAATATGAATATGATTAGATACATTATTCCAAATTTTCGGGGGCATTAACCTTTTTTTTTTTTGGTCAATTGTGCATTAACCTTCATGTCAAACGTAAACAAGTTCCATAGTTTCCCCTCAAAAAATACAATAAATTAATTTGAAAGCAAATCAAAGCAACGAAAGAAAAACGCATCTCTATCTAAATCGGATCCACACAACGGTTTTCCTAACATGTACAGCATAAATGACTTTTACTGATTGGATCTTCTTTCTTAATATAGATGTTTCTTCCCCAAACCATCTTTGAACATATATATACACACACATATTATATATATATATATGCATATACTGATATACATACACAATCATATAAATATTTATGTATGTATATGTGTATGTGTATATATATGTATGTATGTATGTATGTATGTATGTGTATATATATGTATGTATGTATGTATGTGTATATATATGTATGTATGTATGTATGTATGTGTATATGTATGTATGTATGTATCTATATTAAGAATGTTTATGAGTGTATGAGTAGGAGAGCGTTTGTATACTTTTTCCACCAACGACTAGTTAGTGCATGCTCGTCTGGTTCACCAAACACAAAGAGTGGAGGCGAGGCGACAAAGTAAAGAAATCACAAGAGAATATATTGTTCACGGAAACTTGGCCACAAATTGACGTCCCGATCACGGGCCGGCGTTTCACGGTTCACATGTCGACCTTTCATGTCAGATTAGGCTGGGCACCAACCGGCAACGTGTTTTGGGCTTCCGAATCGACATGTCACTGTTTGGCAAAATTGTGCACCATCATTCTGTTCATCCAAGCCATGAATTTCCTAGCTGCTGCACAAAATAGTACAAGCGGCCTACAGTTGCATATCCGTGATAAAGAGGTGAGTTTATATTTTTTCAGAATATTGAATTTTGTATACCTTTCTGACTAACGGTGTCGTTACTTTTCTATTATTATTATTCATTTGGGCAGGTGGTGGTGGAAAATGGGATTCTCCAGATGACGCTATCAAAACCCGGAGGGGTGGTCACCGGACTACAATATAACGGCGTCGACAATTTGCTTGAAGTTCTTAACGAAGCTCCCAATAGAGGGTATGGCGGTCTCTAGCTACAAATATATGGTCTTTCTTGCATTGGTGATTTCATACAGTTTTTAGGGATTTTTTTAAATAAAAAATTAATTTAAATATACTACAGTTTTTTTTTTTTTTAATGAATATGCATTTGTAACTTTCTTCTTTCAATGAATGAAATGTCGTAATTCAAACAATAATAATTTCTTGATAGACCATGGTATTAATTATTGTGTATATTACTTATTCTGTAGGTACTGGGACCTGGTTTGGACCGCACCAGGGATTACAAGAAAGAAAGGAGCATTTGATAGGTGTGTTTACTTTTTTCTAAAGAAATTATGGTCAGTCAATAAACCTTAATAGTAACAAAATCCCTTATAATTTGGAAATGGAAATTATTTCTGGATCTGATTTGCTTGATAATGCATGTATATATGCTATAATATATTACAAGACATAGTAATGTATATTACCAAAATAGTAAATAGAAGAATGTTCAATTGGTCTTGATTATTTATTTGGTCCCTTCGGGGATATCTGATAAAATTGGAACGATCCTGATTATTTATTTGTGTTATGAACTATTTCAAAAAATACGATTATTGGCAGGATTGAAGGAACTAATTTTTCAGTTATAGTGGAAACTGAGGACCAGATAGAGCTTTCATTCACCAGAATGTGGGATCCCTCTCTGGAGGGCAAGCTTGTTCCTTTAAACATAGACATAAGGTCAGTTTTAAAGAGAAGAAAAATAAAATAAAAGGAATAGCTAATGAATTTTTTAATTATTTGATTATTTTGTGATTAAAAATAATTTCTATTTGAAGGTTTGTTATGCTTCGCAACTCGTCAGGCTTCTACACTTACGCTATTTATGAACACTTGAAGGAATGGCCTGCTTTCAACTTGACCAACACGAGGACAGTGTTTAAGCTCAGAAAAGAGAAGTAAGTTTCACTTTTAATTATAATCAAATAATATATGACTGACCAAAAATCAAAAACGTCAAATCGATATGCACACATGAAATAAGCCATGAAATTAGCCAAGTTTGTCTTAGAATAGTGTACATGCTAATCTCTGCCTCTCATCTGTGTTCGCTTGTATCATAAAACATAAAAATCAAATCCAATCATATATTGGATAATTTGTACTCTTTATTTCACTCTTTTTTTGTTAACTATAGTGACTTGATTTCTGCCTAAACTTCTAATATAATTGGCCCATTTTTATTCTCGTTCTTTAATATTATAAGTGCAAGGGTCACAAATTGAAACGTGTAAGTCTAATACAGTAATTCTTTCTGAGGAGTAAACATAATTTAAAAGTAGGTGAGTTGATGACTAATGAACTAATTTGATTTGACTAAGAAACAAACGTGCCATACAAAGTTTGATCATTTTTCAAAGAACATATCATATATTTTATGAATTTATAAACTGAAGGCTGATCGAAAAGAAGAATGTGCCTTCCCGTGAACAGGCCTGAAGATGATTATAGCACCAATATGGAGGCATTAGGTAGTCTCTAGGTCAACATATAATTCGCACCGAGTTGGTGGAATTTAGTTAGGTTTATCATTGACAACTACTTAACAAAAGCATATTGCCCAAGTGTAACCCGTTGATAATTACATGACTCGAAATTTTTATTATTTTAGGGCTCGTTTGGAAAGGCTTTTAGAATTACTGAAAGCATTTTTGTAAAAACATTTTTGAAACTAATACTTAACAAAAATCCAAGTGCATCTTGAAAAAACTTTTAAGTGATTCTTGCACACTAGCTAGTGTTTTACATCCCAAAATCAATTTTACCGAAAACAATTTCTGTCATTCTCAAAGTACTTCCGAACAAACTCTTAATTAATTAGTTAATGTTCATTTATGCAAAATTCACCTAGCATAAAACTAATTTTATTTCATTATTTTGTTTTCATTTTCTTATTAATCTTTGCGTAGGTTTCATTACATGGCAATATCAGACAAAAGGCAAAGATACATGCCACTTCCAGATGATCGGTTGCAAGGAAGAGGCCAAGCCTTGGCTTACCCAGAGGCAGTCTTGCTTGTCAATCCCGTGGAGCCACAGTTCAAAGGAGAAGTATTAATTTCTTCTAACAATCATTTTTCCTATTGCCACTTAAAAAACCAACTTCCCTACAAGTCCAACAATTAGAAGAAAAAAAAAAAGAAAACAATTTTTTTCTACTTGCTATTTGAGTCTCGTTCTCTTACCCATGTGTTGGTCAAGAATTTATAGTCACACACTCTTAAATTTAATATTAATGGTCAAAATTAAAACATTAAAACACATCATATTATTCTCCACTTTTGATATTATACTAAAATTGATAGCCATGCATGTAACAGTTACTTATGCAAAAAATCTATTGTCAGCAAGGTACTTGTACAAGATGTTATATTAGTCGATATTCATTATGTTATAACAAGCTGTTAGACAAGAAAGCATTTTCAATCATATAATTAACAATTCACATAGTTTCTATATCTGTTGGATTGATCGTCTTTCTCAGTTTGATTTAGGGATTTGATTTGGTCCACTTTTGCAGGTGGATGATAAGTATCTATACTCAATTGAGAACAAAGAAAATAGGGTTCATGGATGGATATCCACTGAACCACCCGTGGGATTCTGGCAGATTACTCCTAGTCAAGAGTTCAAATCTGGTGGGCCCTTCAAACAATGCCTTACTTCCCATGTTGGGCCAACCACCCTAGCTGTAAGTACGCTTCTTTTTCTTCATTTTTATTTTAAAGCAAACTTGACTCCTGCCTTTTAAATTCATTCCTTCATATTCTTCAACTATGGCTACATTGTATAATTTTTTCCATATATTATAACATAAATGAGAGAGGTCGCACTTGGTGCGATGGCAAGTGCCTTCGCCCATGAGCGGTAGGTCTCGGGTTCGAGACTTGGGAGCAGCCTCTCCATAAATGGGGGTAAGGCTAGCCGACATTCACCTCTCCCAGACCCTGCATAAAGCGGGAGCCTTGTGCACTGGGTACGACCTTTTATATTATAACATAAATGATGTTATAAATAGTCAAATGAGAGAACTTTTGTAGAGATTGAAGTGGAATGAGAGTGTTGTATATTGTGTTACGGCCATACAACATATGCCACTTTACTATGTAGATCATCCAGAATTAATAGTACAACATTACTTTTTGATCCCTAGTTTATAAAAAGTAGGAAAAATCCTACAGAAGAAAAAAGTTACAACTTTATTTGGATCATTGAGATAGTGTTGAATGCGTTTATGTTGATTCGTTAAAACCTTAATAAGAAAACCTCAAATTAAAAAATCTTAGTCAAAGAAATAAAAGTACAACATGCATATGTCTTGGATGCTCTCCCTATGAGTATCTCTCCTTGATTTTCGCATTTTATTACATATTTAACATATTAGACTGTCTAATTAATTAACAAAGAAACACTTTAGAAGAAAGAAGAAAACATTCCACACAACTCTATTGGCACTGATCATCTGTTTGTCATGGAATCATCAGATATTTCATAGCACCCATTACTCCGGAGCGGAGTTGATAATAGAATTTAAGCCCAGTGAGCCATGGAAGAAAGTTCTTGGCCCCATTTTTATCTATCTTAATTCTTTGGTGACTGAAGATGACCCACTTCAGCAGCTATGGGAGGACGCTAAGCAGCAGGTTAATATCACAAGAAAAGCAAATTAAGTATATACATTTTTTTTTTGTATTTCTAAAAAACATTAATGGATTGAACTGTGAACTTGCAACATTTTTCAGATGAAAACTGAGGTTCAAAGCTGGCCATACGACTTCCCAAGTTCAGAAGACTTTCTATCATCGGATCAACGGGGTACTGTTACCGGCAGATTACTAGTACGTGACGGGTAAATGACTGTTGCATATTAACCTTACTAATCACCATTTAATTTTTCAGGGAGTCTGTCTCTAATTAAGGAAAATTTAACTTAACTTCAATATGTTTGTGTAGGTATATCAATACTGAAGACATATTCGGAGATGGTACACAGGTAGGGTTGGCAGCTCCAGGAGATGCTGGATCATGGCAACTAGAATGCAAGGTATATATTTAATTCTCAAATTTCCATACGATACTAACACCTTGATATATAGGTTGATATTCAGAGTCCCCTCATTCCAAAATATTATAATATTTTCTCTCTGTATGATATAGCAATCTTAGCAATGATATTTTTCTTACAGGGTTACCAATTTTGGACCAAAGCAAACGATAAAGGCTTCTTCTCTATAAGTGGAATACGTCCAGGGATCTATAATGTTTATGCATGGGTTCCTGGTTTTATTGGTGACTATCGACATGATGCTGAAGTAATTATAACTCCAGGTCATGTTTTACTCTTGTTTTATTTCTGTACAATAATATGTTCTTGTTTTTGTTTTTTATTTTTGGTATGCAAAATATATAGATACGTCTAATATTATTTTCTACACATTTTCTGTTTTCACGTAATTAGGTTAACTCTAGTAGTTATATATACTTTGTGAGTTGGGTTGAGAACGTCGTGAGGCAGTTTGGTTAGTATCTACCGTTTGTGTATTGATCAATGATCATAGTTTTATAAATTCACTATGTATGGTATCTAAAATGTAAATAAAGCTGCAGGTTGTAATGTTGATGTGGGTACACTTGTATATGAACCTCCAAGAAGTGGCCCAACTTTCTGGGAAATAGGCATCCCAGACCGAACTGCAGCAGAGTTTTATATTCCTGATCCTAATCCAAACCACATTAACAAACTATACGTCAATCACACTGACAGGTTTGCATCTTCTTGCAAATAATTTTCTTCTCTAACCTAAAATTTCTAGTTTTAATCACAAGCTAGCTATACATATTATGAAATTCAAATGTCTCTGTGGTACTTGACAGGTTTAGGCAATATGGATTATGGGAAAGATATGCAGAACTGTATCCATACAATGATTTGGTTTACACAGTGGGTGTTAATGATTATCGAAAAGATTTTTACTTCGCTCAAGTTACTAGGTAATTAATTTACTCACAAATTATGTATATGTCGCGGCATTAGGGCATGTTATGTTATCAGAAAGTTTAATATGTTCTTTTAGTTTTTTTTTTTTATTATTATTATTATTTTTTTTTTTTACAAGAAGCGATAGAAAAATGTAATCTTCCTCTTTTTAACATCGAGATTTTCATTTGCTAATTTCTAATATTCGGCTAATTAAGAACTTATGTTTTTCCTGCAGGAAGACAGGTAATAACACATACCAAGGATCAACATGGCAGATTAGGTTCACACTTGACACTGTGGGCAAGAACAATACCTACACATTACGAATAGCACTGGCAACAGCACATGTTTCTGAATTACAAGTATTACTTTTTCACTCTTACAACTTCATAACCATTAACAGAAATGCCATTATATTTTTACTGAGAAAATTTTGTTTGATTATCTCATCGTCAAGGTTCGGATCAACGACCTGGAAGCGAGCAATCCACTATTTTCCACAGGACAAATTGGAAACGACAATACGATAGCAAGGCATGGAATTCATGGGCTGTATAGGTTGTACACTGTCGACATTCCAGGTGCTCAGCTGCTGGAAGGGAACAATACCATTTTTCTAACTCGAGCATTGAGTATAAGTCCTTTCCAAGGAATTATGTACGACTATATTCGTTTAGAAGGTCCCGCTTCTTCCAACAACGAAAGTCTGGGATCCAGTTCTTGGGGATATAAATAAAAAAATATAAATCATTCATTTTCTTGGAACCCTAATATAAATCAAAGTTTCCCTAAAATGTTGGGGACTTGGAGGTTTTTTTCCTGTGGTTCTTTTTCGTATGCCTTTGTCTTAGTGAGAGGCGACATTTTTCTTGGTAGAAGCAAACAAAACAATGTCGTCCACCAGATTGGTGCAGAAGATTTGAACTCTCCTGATTGAAGGGTTCGAAAAAGAAAGGCTTCCAGATCCAGCTCTCTGGAGGATCCATTCTCTGAGTCTCTCTGCTGTCTTATGTTGCTGCAGACCTGGATTAATGGATGGCAGGGCTAGAGGTGACAAATCAACCCATTAAGTTGTTAATAGGCATTCAATAAGACTCATTTAGTTTGATTCTACCTTACACACAACTCATTAACAACTCAATAGATTGATTTGTCACAACCACGTAGAGCCATGTACTATACTGACTAATGCCATTCACTAGAAGAAAAGAGAATCCACACAAAACATTAGGAAGAAGTAAAATCTTAACGATTGATAACTACTCCGTCTCTTGTTTGGTTACTATTTTTAATTTTTCATGTAACAAGAAGTGAATAGAATAATTATCAAACGGTAACTACTCCGTCTCTTGTTTGGTTACTATTTTTAATTTTTCATGTAACAAGAAGCGAATAGAATAATTATCAAACGGTTTCTTAGTCTAACGCAGTCATGATAAGTTAGCTCGTGAAAATCATTTAATCAAACATTGAAAAAATTGGAGATGGAAACTGAACATAGGTGGAACATTGTCAAAATGTTTCGAGTCTCGGCATGTGCAATTAACATGGGTTATAAGTTACAACAATATACCGATGAACCAACGAACGTAAATAAAAAAGCGACAGAATTTCTGGCATGTGCAATGAACATTAAACCTTTTCTCTTCACTTGTGTCTTATTTTTCAACTACATTATTTGGAAATAATAGATAAAGGATAACAAACACTAAAACAAGAAAAGAAAAGAAACTCATTTACAAAGCAAAACCTATACAACTAAAACCACAGTTCCGATGTCGGACTACTGCGACAAGAAAAACTACAAGCTATGCCATTTTATACAAGATACTGAGCAATCAAAAAGGGCTGGCGGGCGGGCCGGGAGGAGGTCATAATAAGTACAGGATATCGGGAACTCTCTCTGTTCATATCTTTACAAACCGAATGTCATTTTGACCAAACGGAGTTCCACAGGCAGGACACTTACGATGACGGATCTCTAGATTTTTCTGAACACAGTAATTGCAAAATAGATGATAGCACTTCACAATTACAACCTGCCAATCAAATAATTAAAACCAACATCCCTCAGTTCATCGGAAAATTTAGGAAATGATGACAAATTTGTACATCAAACACTGGTTAGACAACGGCTTAGGCAGCAAATATTTTCCTTACCTCCTTTGGCCTATCAGTACAAACACTGCACTGCAAAATATTCTTGCAGAATTTAATTTCAGTTTGGAGTTTCTGTATTGCAGCCTCTCCAGTTTCAGAACTCATCTCAGCAACCACGCTGTTCAATTCCCCAAGTTCTTCCTCAAGGTTCTTCCTCAAGCTTCTGCACAAGAATCCAACTTGTTCGAGATACATTTATGACCTATTATTACAACTAATAGCTGCAACCTGCATAAAGAATTTCCAAACTTGCAAAATCTGATCGAGCGCTCATGAATTCCTTACAAACTCACCTGAGGCGTGTAATTCTAGTGTACATCTACAATAAGTGAAACCGGAAATGGGATCTTACATGCCAAAACTGTATCTGCATAAAGTTGTACTAGCTTCCTAGCTTGTATATACGATTGGCTATAGAATAAGAAATTCCATGAAATCCATTGTACTCAAAACAAACAAAACATTACCTTTCATTGTCTAATTCCAATTGGACATCATCAATATCCTTTTGAATGTGCGTATGTTCCTTCTCAGAAGAAGCAAAGGCAGATTTCAACCACTGCAACTCCTTCTCAGAATCAGCCAATTCCCACTTGGCAGTTTCTACGTCGACTGCAAGGTGCCTATCTTCCTCAGTAGTTTTTATGGCATCTGTCAGGAGAGCCTTCATCTGCAGGATTAAAATACTCAGCTTGATAAAGGTCAACAGATGAAAATAAATTTCTGCATAGGAGTCACCATACCTGCTCTTCACCATAGGAAACTCTCATGTTTAGAGATTCTAATGATGTGTTTACTTGTTGAAGTTGTTTCGCTAATGCCTGCTTATCAGAGAGTACATAGCTCTGTGCTTGCTTTATCTTCACACTCTCCGAAACGAGCTGCACCGCCAAAGACATCGTTTAAAAACCAAGGACAATGAGCCGCCATTCCACCGCAGCAATAAACCTAGTCATAATGTGGACGAAAATAAAGCAACAAAAATATTAATAGAGACCTTGATATTGTAGTCATCCCTCTCAGTCACCTGCTGCAACAGATGCTGGTTTTGAGTCTGCATATCTTCATATGCCTGACCAATGGTCTGCAGGAACACAATAAGTTTTTCAAAAGATATGAGTAGGTGAAACAGAAAAGTGAGACCAACAATTCGTGTCAATTATTGAGGAACAAAACCTGCAGATATGAACTACGAGATAAGTATAAATACAGCACCTCAATTTCAGATATATAAGCCTCTGCCTCCTTGTCTTTAATTCCAATAGCCGCAGTAAGCTCCATAACATCCCTGCAGATAAAGGTAAAGCATAGCATTACTATGCTTTCAGGCATATTTGCATACACGGGTTTTATTTTAGTGAAAGAAAACAAAATGATTATCTAACAGCTGAGAAACAGAATAGTAATGTATTTTTATCAAAAGAAACAAATATTACCAAGTGAAAATGAATGAGATCCGTTTGCAACTAAAGAGTTTAAAATAAGATTACAAAATAGAATAACAGGGAGGACATGTCCATAACGTTTGTTGGTAACAGGGGGCAAGAATGACACTAACATAAATATAGAATAATAACATATTCCTACCACTATTGCGTCATCCACTACCGGCCTGTTTGGTTTTTTAATAAAAAAATGCGACATGCTTCTAAATTTCTAATAAAAGCTCTTCTTACAAAAGCACTTATGAGCAAAAGTTCTTCCTATAGACGCAGTCCTATACAGGCCCCAACTTTCAAAATCAAAAGCACCCAAGTTTGCCTTGATTAACCAATTTCATCTTCAGTGGTAGTTAAATACATACACTGTTCAACTGAGCTCAGTGTGTATCAAGTTTGACATCTCAACATTCCTATGCTACATCTATCGGTTATCAAAAGCCCATCTAACTTACACATGGCAACAAATTACTGGTCCTTTAGATTAATTAACCTACTGACAAATGTTTAAAAATGTTTTCCAAATTATGTGCGTGTCCGGTGAAAACACTGCATCTAGATAATGAATAACATACTGCTACCCTTCTATATGTAAAGGACACGATTACGTTGAAGAGCAAAGAAAAGACACAGAGATTGCCCAACCCAAGCCAACAAAACACAAAAAAGCTCAGGAAAAAAATAAATAAAAAATACCAGTATGCTACTATATTCAAAACCCAAATGGAACCAATAAAACTAACCGCTCTGATGCATCAAGTTTGGCACTGAATTCAGTTATTTCAGCTTCAGTAGCAGAAAGCCTTTGCTGACAAGCAGCTTCCGCTTCATTGGCTGCTTTCACCCTTAATTCTAGACTATGTTCATCCAATGCATTCTTGAACATTTCAGCTTGAGAGTCAGCTCTACGTTCTGATTCTTTGACTTCCATCAAGTCTCTGAAATTAAATATCAAATCTTAAATGTACTGACAGAAAATACCCTAGATCCATTTATATGGAATAGAGAATGCGAGAAGCACATAAGGAAACGTAAAGATGTTCATAATCTCAATTAGATAACTGAAAGCCAAAATAGTTCCTAATAGAACTGCCACACGATTTAGTCAAATCCACAAATCATATAATGATGAAATTACTGCATTCTATGTCTACCCCAAAAGAAAACAATTTAAACCCTCCAAAATGTATGAGAACAAGAAAAACAAATAAACGTACATATATAAGCTTATACTTTTATACAAAATCCCTACATTGCCCCCATGTGGCAGTCAGGAAACAAATTTACCTGTTTTCATAGCTTTCCTGTGCATACATGTCTAAAAAGATCTGCAGTTCCAGTTTTTCTTTCTGCAACTTCTCAATCTGCAATAAGTACATCTTCATCAATTACTGACATGAGACCAGTTATAGTACATTCCATGTGTCTTCAAACTAAAATGTTATTAAATGGTAACAAATATCTACATATTTTCTTCTCTAACTATTTTCTTGTTAGGCCATAAGTAGATACATATTTTTTTAATACATTTATGACCTTTGGCCTTTTAAATAAGTAATTCCATGGTAGAAACCAAAAAAAGAGTAATTTCTAAAACAAATTGGACAAAACTACCCTCAAGGATATAAACAAATAATTCCGCCACAGTATTATTGCCTTGAAGATCAAACTGAAGCATTACGTTGAAAGTTCCAAAAACACTCATGAGGCTTTACAATAAATAAAAATTCTTAACCGAAAAAAATATATACAAAACTTTATTTGACTGAGAAACACAGTTTACAGGATAATTTATAAGGCTCAGACGGTCAAAAGTGAATCTTAAAATCTCAAATTGGATAGAATTAAAATCAAACATCAGGCACAGATATACAAAGGACCTACATGTAGAAGAGTTGATATAAACTGAAACATAGAAAGGTATATATCAAAGGCATTGATGAAGCCTAAAAAAAGAAAATCCTATATTTAAATGGTCAAAAAATCGAAAAACATGGATCCAATAGAAGTGAAGGCAACAGTAATCAAGACTAATAGAGAATCTCACCAATGCCTTAAGAGACTTTATCTCTATCACCTGTTCGCCACACTTGTCCACAAGGCTCTTTTGCTCATTTGTCTTCGAAAAAAAATTTGAGAAATTCAGAGAATATTCCACAATTAAAT